CACACCCCTCATCCCTGGTCCTTCTCCTGGGCCTCCCCCACCAGGCCTGATCTCTCTCTCTCTCTCTCTCTCACACACACACACACACACACACACCCCGCATCCCTGGCCTTCCTCCCGCTCAGGCCCACGCCCCTCCGGGTCCCACGTACCTGGGCCTCGCCCAGCCCCAGCTCGATGGCCTCCAGCGAGTGGCTCACCACCTGTTGCTTCTCCTCCAGCAGCTCCGCTCCGGCCACGGGACCCGGCCCAGCCAGGGCCTCGGCCAGGTGCCCGGCGAGACTGTAGTGCTCAGCCCGCAGGGCCTCCAGCCCCTGGACTACCTGTCGCGTCTGCCGCACCAGCTCCTCGGGGTTCAGGCGCTCTGGGCCCAGCCCTGTGCTTCCCGGGGCTGCCACCTGCACAGACATGGCTGTTCCTGGGGGGCAGTGAGGTGGAGGGAGTCACCATCTGGGACTCACAGCTTCTCTTCGTGCCAGCCACCCCCCTGCCCACCCATCCTGGCTCGCTCCCTGCCCGGGCCCTTTCCATCCCAGGCAGCCTTCATGGGGAGCATTCTCCTCTACCTTGGTAAACCCAGGCAGGGCTCTACCCTGAGCGCAACTCTAAACTCTGCGGAGTTAGCTACCAGGTCTAGCAGCTGGCTCCAGGGCCCCCTCCACCCCGCTGCACTCCGCTCACCTGGCCCGGCCCCCCCACCCAGGTCCCCAGACACCCTAGCTCAGAGCTCCCAGCCTGCTAAGCGCCCTGGGACCGGAGGCGCCACCTCTGCCAGGCGGGGAGGCGGGGCGTGTGGAGGCGGCCGGCTCCCGGTGAGCTCATTCTTAGGGTGTTTTTGTCAGGAACCAGTCAGGCCACTGGGGGGGGGGTTGAGGGATGGAACCCTGAAAGCAGAGAAGTAGAGCGTAGGGCCTGGAGGCGGGGTGGGGTGGGGAGGGGAATGTCTGAGAGGGGCCTGAAAGTTGGCTCCTCTTGGCAAGACCTGGAGGGACCAGGACCGGGGGTCCGGACCACAGCAGGGACCAGGACCGGGGGTCCGGACCACAGCAGGGACCAGGACCGGGGGTCCGGACCACAGCAGCCAAGCTCCAACAGCCTGGGGTTTTGATGAGACGCGAAGCTGGCAAGGGGTGAGCGTCCCCCATGTGGGGTTTTGTGTGTTTATATACGTGCGTGCGCGTAACAGAGTGAGAGGCACGGACGGTGAATCTCGTAGACACACGCACGCCTCGGGAAACACACGCAAAACTCTCTCTCCATCCTTTTTTATTTATTTATTCTTTTTCAGACAGGGTCTCACTATGTAGCCCAGGCTGGTCTAGAACTCACAGCAATCCACCTGTCTCTGCCTCCAGAGTGCTAGGATTAGAGGGATGTGCCACTACACCTAGCCTTTTTTAAACTTTTTTGAAGTTGGGTCTTCTGTCTCCAGACTGGCCTTGACCTTGCTATATGGCTGAGGATGGCCTTAAACAACAGGCATCACCACACTCGGTGGATGGGGTCCTGGGGATGAACCCGGGTCCTGGACATGCTAAGCACACCCAGGGTGGGCGTGCCAGGCAAGCACTCCTATCAACCGAGCCCCAGCCCAGGCCCTTCTTAAAGACAGGATGGCAGACAGAATCGCATCTCAGACATAGCTCAGCACACGAAATCCCTTGTTTCACACACCCCCACACCCTCTCTAAACAAACACGCAGACATGTATGACCTCATTGGAAATACAACACAATAAAAAAAACAACAGAAAAGAAAGACAGCACAATATACTTATTTCTCATCTTAGAAACACAAAATGCACTGCACTCTCTCCTTTTCAAAACACAGCTCAGAGCCAGGTGTGGTAGCATATACCTGTGATGCTGGCACTGGAGCCTGAGGCAGGAGGATCATGGTTGAGTAGCTATGAACTCTGCTTTAAAAAAGAAAATCTAGGGGCTGGAGAGATGGCTCAGTGGTCACGAGCCCTTATTGCTCTTGCAGAGGACCCTGCACCCATATGGTGACTCCCAACCACACCTACAGTTCCAGAGGATCTCGCCCTCTTCTGGGCATTGCACACACATGGTCCACATGCATGCATGCAGACAAACACTCATGTACATAAAATATCTTAAAAAGAAAAGGTGGATGCTGGTAAGGGGTGGCCAAGCATGGCCAAGGCCCTGGGCTCCATGCCTTGTACAAAAAGGAAAAAAAAAAATGTTGAGGCATGGGCATGTGTTGCAGACAGAGATCTGAGCTCTCCAGAGGCAGAAGATCAGGAGTTCAAAGCCATCCTTGGCTAAACCTTCCTGCCTCCAGCTCTCAAATACCGGCTACAGGCAGACAGCACCGTTCCAGGGATCTGTTTTTACACAGGGTCTCATGCAGCTCAAGCTGGCCTCAAAATCACTATGTAGGGGATGGAGAGGTGGCTCAGAGGTTAAGAGCACTGGCTGCTCTTCCAGAGGTCCTGAGTTCAATTCCCAGCACCCACATGGTGGCTCACAGCCATCTGCAATGAGATTTGGTGGCATGCACACATGCCAGAAGACTGTACATATAATAAATAAATCTTTTTTTTTAAAAAATCATTATGTAGCCTAGACTGGCCTCATGGTAGAAGCAATCCTCCTGCCTTCACACCACAACTGCTAAGATGACAGGTGTGCCCCAATTCCTGACTGTCCTGGAACTCACTCTGTAGACCAGGCTGGCCTCGAACTCACAGAGATCCGCCTGCCTCTGCCTCCCGAGTGCTGGGATTGAAGGCGTGCACCACCACCTGGATTAATATATATAATTTTAAAAGAGATAATCCTCTGATGGACAGTGCATGTCCCCCCTCCCCCGCCCCAGTTTCCTCTGATGACCTTGGGGCCACCTAAAACAGCCTTTTCTACATCCCAGCCTCACAAGCGGGTCATGTTGCAGGATTCGTGCCCAGAAAGAGACCAAACTACAAACTCTGAAATACAGTTTCTACTTGGTGAGTGTCATTTTTCAAGCATTTTAAGTCAAAATCCTAATTCTGTGGGTTCAAGGCCAGCCTGGTCTATGGAGCCAGTTCTAGGATAGCCAAGGCCACACAAAGAAACCCTGCCTCAAAAACCCAAAACAAACACACAAAGCGCAGGGGTGTGTGTAGAGCCCAGGTAGGCACAACCTCACAAGCCACAGGAGTGGCCAGTCTCTGTGGTCCCCAGCACGGCCAGTGTCACCTTCCCACCCCACAGCACAATCTCAAATCCAGCGGAGTCCAAAGCCCCAGACGCAGCCTCCCCCACACCCCAGCCAGATACCCACATCAGCAACCACAGGGACAGCCACGGCTTAGCCACAGCCATCTGTCACTCAGGCTGTCCCCCGGCACTCCCAGGAGCCCCACAGACAGAGCCTCAGCACAAGTGCAGAGCCGGTCCAGTGATAACCACGGCACAGCATGGCCCAGCCGGCCTTCCATGCCATCACCCTGCACAGGAACATCTCAGCCATACCAACTCCCCCCCCACATACAAGTCCATACAGCAGGCATGCACACACACACACACACACACACACACACACACACACACACACATGCACGCACTCACACTTGCATGCACACCACCTATGCAAACCCCAGCCTGTAGGCACAGTCACACACACACACACACACACACACACACACACACACACACACCCCTCCATGACAGGGACACACAACCAGAGTGTCAACAGCCAGTCAATGACCATCACATATCACCCATGTAACCGACACAGTTCTACAAACTCCATTCCCACCGCTGCACAACACCCAGCTCAACCCCGAAAGAGACCCCACTCCCTGACACACACATGGCCACACACATCAATCAGCCACAAGTACAGAGCTGACCACAGATCCGGCATCTCATTGTCACACATGCTAAGCAGTGTGTACAGCCCACACCTAACACACACACAATCAGGGGTCACCCACATTCACTCAGTCTGTCCCCATTATAGGGTGACATGGTAGCTCATCTCCCTTTTACACTTGTACCCACAGTCTGACTCTCTTCCTTATTAAAAAATTATATATAAACTGGGCAGGCGGTGGTGGCACACGCCTTTAATCCCAGCACTCAGGAGGCAGAGGCAGGCGGATTTCTGTGAGTTTGAGGCCAGCCTGGTCTACAGAGCAAGATCCAGGACATAGAACTCGTCCTGGATACACAGAGAAACCTTGTCCCAAAAAACAACAAAAGTTATATATGTGTATGGACATTCAGGGTTTCTCTGTGTAGCCCTGGCTGTCCTGGAACTCGCTCTGTAGACCAGGCTGGCCTCAAGTTCAGAGATGCACCTGTCTGTCTCCCGAGTGCTGGGATTAAAGGCGAGCATCGTGATGCCTGGTCTTTTCCTTTATATATTCATTGTGTGCGGACGTGCACGGAAGGTCAGAGGACAACCCGCAATTTTGAGGAAGTCAGTTCTCTCCTCCACCTTGTGGATCCTGGGGATCAAACTTAAAAAGTCAGGCTTGGCAGCAAGCACCTTGACCCACTGAGCCATCCGCTGGCCTTCTTTCCTTGTCTTTTTCTTTCTCTCTTTGACACGGGTACCCACAACCTGTCCTCCTTGTCGCTCTCGCTTGAGAAAGAGTCTCACTACATAGCCCCTGCTGGCCTCCAACTCTGCGCCTCCTGCCTCAGTTTCCCCAGTGCGCCCTGCCTGACACCCTCTTTTTTGCACACGCCGCGGAGGGTCCCTTACCATGCGTGTCTTGCACTCCTAGGCTGTAGCGGGTGACCCTCTGACAGCCCGGCCAGGCCCTCCCCGCGGCCGCGGAGACCCCGCACCCGACTCCGCGTCACAAGGCCCCGCCCCGCCCACTGCTGTTTTCCTAGCCGGCTAGGGCGGGGCGCGGCCCGCGGGGACCCCCGGGCTCGT